TATGGATTTTAGAAGTTCGGGGCACAAAATTCGAGAAAATCACTAAAACCGAGAAGAATCGCATGTCACAGCTTCGGCCACGTCGCCCTTCTCGCATGCAGACGCGTGTCCGAGCCGGAGAACCAAGCGATGCAAGGTCTAATAGTCTTCCGACGCGTGCCACCTCCGTGTCAAGTCCGAAGCGCGCGAGCTGCCCCTTGCGTCCGAACCTCGTTGCTGATGCCGCGTGTCCGAGCTTCGCTGCTACCTGGCTCCTCCCTCTTGCTTTGGATCCGAGGCTCGCACCTATATAAGGGGTGCGAGACCTCCCGAGTAAATGTTAGAAAATGCCCCTTTTTCACCCCTAAACTCATATTTCTACTATTTCAACTTCCCCCGAAGCCCCGAGATTATTTCCAACGCCCGAAACACACCCCGAAGTGCCCGAGAAGCCTGAGAAATTTATCTTTTCGGTTTGAAGTCCAACCCTCGCAAGACCCGGTTTTCAAGAAAACTCCCGATTTTCATTGAAAAAAGTCAGTTATAGTAAGGAAGTGCCGCCCAAATTACTATTTTAACCCCGGGTTATTTAACGGTGAGTTCAATATATAGGAACAATTGTATGTCATGTGTTATATGTGCTATGTGCTTTTTAGTGTTATTTTTCCAGGTTATTTTCCCGTGTTATTTTTATTTCCGCTCTTTATGATAGCAAAGCTATGCCTTTGACCATGTGATCAGTACTGGTACGTAGCCTCTGGCCATGTAGAGCATGTCTCCGTAAGAGAATGACTTCTATTCTATGGCATTGGCAGATGGTTAGACAGGGCTATAAGCCTGCAATCTACTGAAATGTTTAAATCAGAAAGTGTATGTCTTCTGTGCCATTTGGGCCGAAGCTTTATTGATGTATATCAAGTATAGAAATTGTCATGTCTCATTGATCGTATATCTTTGAATCAAATCATTGATTGATATGGAAAGTTTGTCACATGATTCACATATGTCTTTGTTGTTTCTTGTTCCTCTTTGCTTCTTCCATATTGAAGTATATATATGGCATAACGTTATATTGTATCTATTGTTGAACTCACTAAGCGTCACCGCTTACCCCTCTCAATGTTTAACAAATTGCAGGAGATTAGTAACCAGTATAGTTATATACTGATAGAAGATTTTGAATAGTTTGAAACTATTGTAATTAGTAATCATATATGTATAACTTATAGTATTTTGGGAAGTTATGTAACATATAAAAATTTGTAATAGTCGGTTTGTATCCAGTCTTATGTAAACAAATTATCAATGTAAAATATTGTTTTTTTTATGAATATGCAAGTAGCATGTATTGGAGTAACAATTGTCAAGTATGAAAGTTTGAGTCTTTCAGAAATACGAAAGTTTAGAAAGGGGTTCTTTCAAATAAATATAGTTTTATGCAGAGAACAGAAAGTCCTGGTTATTTAATTTTATACGAAAATTTGTCATTTTTTGTTCGAATAAAAATATATATTTTTTCGTCGATTTGAACAAAATACTAAATAATCAAGACATTTCTATTAAAAAAATAAGGGTTTTATTAAAAATTTTCTAAAATAATGAGATTTTTTGCATAAAACTCTAATAAATATTAGATACGTAATGTAAATAATATATATACTATCACAAATTTTATAAAAAAATATTATATTGATAAGAATGTTCATATAGAATAAAAAATACAAAATTTTGATATATTTGAATATTTTTAGCAATCTAAAATGAGTGACGAACATTCGTTTTGTCTTCAACCTTTATTTTTGTTCTTATGTGAACTTATTTGTAGGAGAAGTTCAATTGAGAACGTTCGAGAAAATGAGAGTAAATATCGACCACATTATTGTAAACAATTATTAAGTAACTAGATATATCAAAATTCATTAATTTGTATTCTTTTCAAATTTACATTCATATCGATATAATATAAATAAATTTTTTAAAAAACAACGTTTTTCTTTTACTTTCTAATGAAATCTACCGTTATGTCTTTTGTTCACATTTAACAAACCGTGTATTTGATTTTCATTATAAGTCATTCTTTATTCATATATGCATAAAAGTGTATCATATTTTTATTCACATGTGAATAACACATAAATAAAAGACTTAAAATAAAAATTCGATACACTTTAATCACACTTGACGAAAGTTTTTATAAAAAAATAAAAAAAATTCCTATATTTATTAAAAAAAACTTTTTTGTCGATATACATACCCTTTTATAAAGAATAAAAAATTAATAAATTTCAATATGTTTGCATTTTTTTCAAAAAAATAGAATTTAATAATGGATGGTTGACAATTGTTCTAACGTTTTCAACAATTTTTTTTTCAAGTTATATATATATATATATATATATATATATATATATATATATATATATATATATATGGAATATGACACTATAGCGTTACGTTACGATGTTTTCAGTCTCATAAGTTATTATTGTGACTTCTAAAGGAATAAAGTTGGTTTTTTCAGGTCGAACATGTCCTCTTTGACAAAACGAAGGGGTAACCCGGTTACCCCTTATGTCAACTTACTTAATTAGTCTAATTATTTATTTGTTTATTATAAAGAAAATGAGTCATCTTTCTCTCTTTCTCTCTCTCTCTCACTCTCTATCTCTCTTTCTCTCTCTAATGCCCACGACATAGAAATTGAAATTTAAATCGGTTGAGTGTTAGCCAAAAAAATGTAAAAAAGAGTTGAGGATCTCGTAAGTACGAATCCATCAATATAAAGATATGATTTTTGCACGAAGTTCATATGAATGAGTTATGATTTTTGTACGGAATTTAACAGTGTAATCTTTATAAAACTATGAATTTAAAATAGAGTGAGAATTTGGTGTTGATGTCTAAAGGAAAATTGTAGTACTCGGAATGGAGCTCGTATGCGAAAATGGAGCTCGTATGAGAAATTTATGGTTGTTTGAAGATTTGTGAAAAATACATGGATTGATGACGTGGCGGCCCGAGAGCACGTCATGTGTCAAAGAAGAGACTAGACTCTTAAACTGACACGATGATGTGTCCCGATAATCGCGTGACACGTGGTGCCATAAAATAGCGACAAATGGCGGTTTTGGATTCAACATCTTGTAAAGAGGTGTGGCCCAATAAGAATCGAACATGTGGTATCGCAAAGAGCTAGACACGCTGACCATAGACATGGCGTGCCTATTGACATGATGCGACAGGCCCCCTTTGTTTTCCTATAAATAGAAGCCAAAATTGGTTCATTTCTTACATCATTTCCTTACCCTTCTCTCTGGATACCCTTCTGATTCGAAGCACGGATTTTCTGAGTCTTTTGAATACTATAGCTAGGTTCTGAGATGTCTAGGATCTCAACAAAAAGGATCTTCCCGGTCGAGTTTGTGCCCGCGACTTCTTGGTTTTCTCTAGAAACTCTGGAAGTTAAGCTACACTTACTATGATTTAGGTGTAAGTTATGTTTAAGTTCATTATCATTATTACGAACCTATAAACATGATTATTAATGATTTCAAGTCATAATACTGATTGATCTACTTACGGGAGTGATGTCTAGACTAGATTAAGTGAGGTGTTTAAAGTAGATTTTCCAAACAATATTATATTGTATATACCAAACGGATCCTACCTTTGATATGATCTTACCTAGTTGTTCCTTATTTGATAGATCTCGATGTATTCATTGGGATTGTTAGGGAATCTGAGGAGTAGTTATAAAACGCGTATAAATACAAACGAATACTAAAACATAGTAATATTCGTATTTAGGCTATTTAAAAGGGCTAAATTGATGTGTTAGGAGAAGAGCTAGATTTCAAAAGAATCTTCCACACAAATCAGGTTAGTGGATAACTACCTTCATGAACATGATTTTAATAGAAATATTGATTAAAATTATTAAATATCTGTTGAAAGTTGATATATGAATTATATGCTCTAGAATAATTGTTTAGATGATGAATTCAAGAATTATTGTCCTTCCTAGTGACGGAGTGAGACTTATTAAGGATGTTTAGATCCAGTTAAGTTGAATAATATTGTAGTCATACTTTATATTGGGATGATGTTGTGAATACTATTTTGACGATGAATAATGAACTACTCTAGTTGCAAGCTAAGGCTTTCCAAAAGACATTTAGTTCGAGTTAAGTTGAAGAGATGTTATATTTACCATGTATGGTAAAGATATTACCTAGGCATGGACTTTGGGATGATTATGGGTATTACAATCTTGTTTAGTTATACCCTAAAACTTAAAAGAGATGTTTAGTTTAATTAAATTTTAATTGATAAGACGTTGTTATAGAAAATGATCCGTTGAATTTTTTTTTTTTTTAAAATGTGATTTTTCAAAAACGATGAATTTAGATATTTTTTTTGATAAAAAATAAGCTTTAAAATACGGATTGAAAACGTGACCATAATGATCTAAAAAAATTAATAATCCTATTTATACTTAATATATATATATATATATATATATATATATATATATATATATATATATATATATATATATATATATATGTGTGTGTGTGTGTGTGTGTGTGATGACTCTTTTTTCGGTGAGGACACCTTAAAAAATTAAAAAAAAATCTAAAAAAAATAAAAATCAGAAAATCGAGCATAGTACTATATCCGGTAGAGAAAAAAAATTGGAAAAAAGTTTTTGCATCATTAAAATTGTATCATGGATCATAAAAATGATCCATGCTTCAATTTTAATGATACAGAATTTTTTTTTCCAATTTTGTTTTTTCTCCGATCTAGTACTTTGCTCGATTTTATCATTTCTATTTTTTTAGATTTTTTATTTTCAATTTTTTTATGATGTTCTCACGATTCCTAACTTTAAAAAGAGTAATCACCAGACCTTATCTCTCTTTCTCTCTCTCTCTCTCTATATATATATATATATATATATATATATATATATATATATATATATATATATATATATATATATATTGTACATAACTTACCGAAAATAAGCATTGTGAGGAAGGTACCCACAAGTTTGCACTAGCTGTATCGAAGATCACATTAAATTTCTGAGGTGGGGTGCCAATGCCGATCTCACCAAAGTATTGAGCATTCATATAGTTGTTCAGGGCTATGGTATCAGATTTCGTGGAATCACCAAGGTTATTTAAACTCTGTGTGTACTTCGTAATAGATGCGTTTAAAGTGTCGTCTGAATTGGTTCCATTATATTTCACTTTCTTTAGTTTGATCCTAACAAGCCCCTCCACTGATGTGAAAAATAATGGAGCATAGACAAGAATAGACAAGGATAGTAAAATTGCTAGAGTTTTCAACTTACTTCCCATGTTGACCTACATGTTAGTTCACCATTAAGATCTAGTTAGCCGTTTGTTAGCAAGTATATACAAAAGCAAATATACTACATTAGGAATATAAGAGCAAATAAACTTGGTTGTTACAAAATCCATATATGTCATACAACATAAAATTATTAGACATTGACAAATTATGTCAAAATCTTTGTTAACAAGTTTTTGATCAGTTTTTTGCTTGGTTGTTATTTTTCTTAACCTTAATTAATTAAGCTTAGAAGTTCACAAGAGTCATAAGAGCCACCTAGTTGGAACTCAAAAGTAAAAATACTTCTACTCAATATCTATTTCTTCATATTACACAACTAAGTCAACTCTAGAAAAAAAAGTAGACAAATAGTCAAATACTACCAAAAATAACTAGATTTGTGCCTAATCATGAGAACAATCAAAACAATAAAATACATAATGATTAGAAAAGGATGTTAAATTGACTAAAGTCAGACAGTCTACGAGCATAAAAGAAGATTGAATTTTGGAATCTTACTCGGCTCTTGAACATTACTAAAAGTTAAACTAAAAATCATTGCATGCAACCTGAAGCACTTTTAACGTAACGAGAAAAAGATAAATATTGATAAATTTTAAACAGTTAACTAATTCTCCGAAGCTACGAAACATGAAAACAGCATGAAATTATGGGTTCATAGCTCTGTCATGATTATCGACTCGAAATATATGATAACACATGAAAATATAAAATGAATGTTTATAAAGCTGACGCAACACACAATCCCTTTGAATTAGAGAAAAATGAAAAAAAATGGTCCTTGATATTTTATTTGATTCCAGTCGAACAAGTTTCATTTTATTGAACATGGTCATTATTTGCAGTTTTGCAATACTAAGAAAAAGGGAATTACCGACGGCCAAACCCACGCGCGGCTTATTTAGTTTTGGAGCTTTACTCAAACCAAAATTTTGGGGCTCATTGGCATTTACTATAATTAATGTTATTAACCTTCATCCTTTATCCGAGTTTGGGAAAGTGAGTTCTTTACAGTTATTGACAGGCTTGACTTTGAGAAAACTCAAATTCGTTCCAACTTGGCAACGTCCAACGAAATCGTTACAAAATCCAAACCTGATTCAGAGGTAAGCAAAATCTGATTCCAAAATCCAACTTGACACATTGAATATTAAAAAAATTAAGCCCTATTAACCCTAATAGATAGTCTAATCGAAAAAGATGAACCGGTCAAAACTATTCTACATCAAAGTTCAAAAAACAGATTTTGTTCCTTCTTTTGTGCATTAAAAAAATCATCTGTTGGTATTCCGTTACAAGAAAATATGTCTAACCTGATGACTAAATTGATATATTCTTATAGTTAGAAGCAATGTTCGTTTTAGGTTGTTCTCATAACTAGAACTTAGTTACAATGACATTTATAGAGAGAGAATATACATTTATTAGTTTATTATATGGTTAATAAATTATACTAAATGATTTTTTAATATATTACGATTAATGTATTAATTGGAAATAAATAATTGATTCGTTAATTTATAAAATTAATAAATTAATGAGAAATCAGTTAGAAATGATTGATTATTAATCCAAATTAATTTGAGATTAATTAAAATTAATTAAAGGTCCAAGAGTTGAATTATAATTGTTCATAATTGAGCAAGGAAAAAAAATTCCAGAACTCATATAAGTGGTAAACGAAATTTAGGAGTATTATATAGTTTCTGGAATATTCCTAAAGCTGATATGGATATCATATTTGAATAGAATAAATTTAAATATTTTATTATTCAAATCTACGGTTTTCCCTGTCTCATTCACACAATAAATAGGACCCCGAGGGTTATGATTTTGGGTTGATACTCTTCCTTGAAGGATACTTTGGACAAAAATATACTCTTTCATCTCTCCTCTTATCTGCTAGTTATAGGGTTTGGGTGTGAGCCATTAGAAGCATCATCCTTTTGGTGCTAAGCTTTCCAAGACCTACTCTACAAGGGGATTGAAGTGATTTCTTTACTACAACAAATCAAATGTATGTAATCCTAATCTCATGATTTCAATTATACCGGGGTTTATGTTTGTTTTTGTTGTTCATAGTATGTTTCCTTCATAGTGTTAGGACATAGATCTTTAATAGGATGTATGTACCCTATCAATTGTTATTTGTTTTTTGCATTGTAAAATTTTGTTTTCTATAAAACCCAACAATGGTATAAAAGCTTAGGCTTTTCAAACATTGATTTCACATGAGATGAATTAAACAAAATAGGTTTTCAAAAAAATTACTGATCTCATGACATGATAGACCCTTTGAGATGTGTTTTCCAGATTTTCGATAATTATCTTCCTAATTTGATTTATGGTATTATTTTTGGTAATTATCCTATATTAATTCTATTTTATTCTAAATTTTAAATGCCTTGTGTGATAATTAATGAATCCCTAAATATTAGAAGATATCCTTATTTGATAATTTTTAATTAGTTAACTTAATATTGAATTATCTCATATGAATTTAATAATTAATTTAATTGTAATGTAATTAAAAGATAATTATAAATTCATTATATGTTTAAATTGATTAATTAATTATAAGATAATTTAGATAATTAATATTTAAACCTTGTATTTTGAAAAGATTTTAAATACACCTTATATTATATATGATTAAAGTGTAATATATTATATGTATAAGACAAGTCTGTCAACCAATAGTAGACCTCATTCACGAAGCCATGCTATGAGGGGGTGTAAGGAGACGGCCTATAAAATAACCATCGAATGGGTGTCTATTCTCACCCATTGCTCCCTTGTGTGGTGGAGGGTGGTTAGTCGAACGGGTTGATATAACATAAGATCTTAAAAGTATGATGTTATAAAGTACAAGAACCCACTTCAAAAAATCTCACTCTAGTTACTTTAGGAAAAACGTGAAATTGTATGCTAATCAATGAAAACACATATCGTTTCATTATGAGTCGTTAGTGGAGCGTGTGTGGTTAACCAACACACTAATTTGGGACTATAAAGGTGAAATGATGAAACAACTCGTGTTTATGATTGTTGATGGAGACTGTATGGTTAACCAGCACATCAATGGGAGATCATAAATCGATCGAGGTTGTTCAAGCGGGTTTTCATGGTTATTCATATCTTAATTGTGATCTTCGACATCCCATTGATAAGATACAATGAATCTCAAAGATCTAGGAGTTGCGTGTGATTGAAGTTGGTGAGATGAATCTACCTACCTAAAATAGATTGGAATTTGATTACGACATCCCTCTTTAATGGTCGAATCGAAAATAATGATCCTAGCCGTAATTTAAATTATGGGTTAATAATTAAGGACTAAAATCAACTAAATTGATGCAACGTTCCATTTTCAAAACCAAAAATTTTCATTTTATTAAAGTAAAACTTAGCAATTATAAATCCATTATTAAGAAACCCATTTATTCTTAATTACATTTATTGAAAATTAGAGTAATTTAAGAAACCTGAAATCCTCAATGCTGACAATGAGTGTGTATAGTCTCGTCTTCACCTTCCCATGATCACCGATAAAACATGAAAAACATACACAATTGGGTAAGCACAAAGCTTAGTGGATCTTCCGCAAAAATACCCCATACGATAAACATACAAGTATGCATAACGGCCCGCAAGCATCGGATTGGAATGCTCAAGCCCAATCAGTCCTCGGACTGGAATGCCAACATGCAATGGGTCCAATAAGCCATCGGGCTAGAATAACCAGGGTTTGATATCCTACCGCCTCAACCCAATCGCTCTTCCCGAGCCTCCGTGCCTACGACTTACAGCCAGCCTGCACGAGGTATCTTGGCCTACAAAGTAGGACTGCCTCAACCCACTACCACCATATGTCGACATATAAACAAGCAAAGATCAAGTAGGAATATAATACAGTCAAACATCAATCATACAACTCACTACCGCCTACTAGTCCTCTCACAACACATTGTTTCGCTACCAGTTATCCTCTATGAAACGCGTAACCATAAGTAACCAGAGGTGAGATAGCCACCCAAATAGATAATCCTACTCTAGAGCCATAACCAAACAAGGAACATGCACGAAAGTGTAGATCACGAGTTCTTAGGCTATCCTACATGACGAAATACAACCCTTAGGACACTCCACCAGATGATAACCAGTATACCACTACTACAACATCTTATTACATACGAATATATATATATATATATATATATATATATATATATATATATATACATATATAACAGATCGTTATAGCACAAAAACATACTATATAACAAGATACAGATCTAACAGATCACCACAACATAACAACATCATATATACCAGGATAGATAACCTAGTAGGTCGGCATTAGTGCCTTCGTCCCACAAGTACAGTGAGGAAAACTCACTTGAATCGAAGAACTCAGAAACACTATGATGCGATCCTTTTTCTACACTACTTGCACCAGCGAATCCACTAACACCAGAACCAGATAGAATATTAATTAATATCCCAAAATCTTCAAGTTTGACCTAAAGTCAAACTTGGTCAAAAAGTCAATGGTCAACGGAAGTCAATGAAAGTCAAAGGCCAATGTTGCTGAGTACGCCCAACGTACTCAACGTACGCCCAACATATGCGGCATGTTCTCATTACTCCAATAAGAATTTTATCCCTGAAATACTTTTGTTCAGAGCTTAGATCCGGACTCAAAACATCAACTTAAGTCATAAAGTTTCCACCTTTATGACTTTCCATGGCTAGAAAGGTCCAACAAGCTAAAACCCTAATTTATTAATGCATTAAGACATCATAACTCCTGCATGGAAGGGATAGAAAGGACAAAGATCAGATTTTCATGGTTACTAATAGCTCTATAATGGGTAAAGTTTCCAATTGTATCCATTAGGATGGTCCAAACAATCTAGATCTAGTCTTTAAGTCTCAAAGGGACCAAAAGTGCATCTTTCTTAACTTAATCCATTAAGTCTAAGTCCCCAACCTTCAGATTCGAATCGAAGTGATGTTTAGATGGATAAAATTTCCAACATTATCCATAACAAGGTTACAAACTTTCAAGATCTAAACTTTATGCAATAAAGTGACCAAAATTGCATAACACCCAAAACGAGCTAGATCTAACAAATGCATATTCAAGATTCAAGCTTTATACCTCCAGAAGGAAGATATAGGTGACCAAAGTCTCGCTCTACAAGCACCAATGCAACCAACACTTCTCTAATGAGCACATTCTTCTTCAAGATGCACCAAGAACACTCCAAAGCACTCAAAAACTAAAGGATCTCACAAATTGGGCTAGGGTTTCGAAATTAGGGTTAGAGAGGATGGAGGCTGAAGGTAATAAGGGTTTGGAATGAGTTAAGGTCTTTAAATAGTTCCACGACCCAAATAATAGGGTTTGCATCAGACTTACGTACACCCAACATAGTCCTGGTATTCCCAACATACTAGGTTGATCCTCTTTGATCAGCCTTGCCTAGTATGCCCAACATACACCCTGTGCGTCCAGCGTACTCGCCTTAATCC